GTGGTGGGGTGATGTGTGGGTGGGTGATGGATTTTTGGTTGGGGGTTGTTGTGTGTTTAGGTGGTGGGAGCTGGTGTTGTTTGTTTGGTTTTGGTTTTTTTGTTTTTTTTGTGTTTTTTTTTTTTGTGGTTGGACTCGATGATCTCTGAGGTCCCTTCCAACCACTACAATTCTGTGATTCTGTGAAATCCTGACATAACTGCTGCTGTTGTGCAGGCCCAAGGTATTGATTGTATGTCAGCTACTCAACGAGCACCAAAGATCTTACAATATACGGGTGATGCCGGTACAAACAAGGGCTGTTGTTCCCTGTCAGTTTACCTCAGTTATAGAATTAAATGCCTACTTCCAGAGAGAAAGACAAATATTTTTTTCTTGCCTGTGGGTGGGGTGGGATGAAGAAAATAAATGAGGGCAGGGGAGTGTCAGATGGATAGAATAATGAAAAGTCAACAACCTCCATATACCTTACAGTAATCTCTGAAATGCAAATCAAGCTCTATCAATAGGCATCCAGAATTGAAGTAGATAGCTGGTGTTTCCTTCAGTCTTCCTTCCCAGATAGTGGAAGAAGAACGTGAACATCTGCAATCCACCTTCTCCTGGGGAACAGACTGTGCACCGAAGGCTGGAATCACTGAATCAAAGCTGAACCAAGCTATTGTTTGACAAACAGCTAAAGGAAATACACATTCACAGCACAAAAATTAGAGCTTCACCGTTCTCTGTAGCAGGTGAGACACCATGAGATTTTAGTCTGTTCCGTTATGTATATATACTTTTTTAGGTACCTAGAGTAATGGAAAGATACTTTTCAGCACAATCTACTAAGTTTGTATAGCGTGTTTTAACTTTACTTGAGTACATATCAGACTGGCAGGGGTTTTGTACAACAGTGCAATTATCTTTTTAGACTTTGCTAAAGTTACACTTCCATGCTTAGTAGTTTTCATGATCTTCAGAGCATTTTATCAATATGAACATAATTGTTGTCTTCGTGGTCTCTTAGACTTCTGAAGTATTCTAATTGCTACTGTCATCAGTTTGCAGTGTGAGAAAAGTGATGTGTACATCACTGATAGCTTAACATTTTAATATTAGTTTTCTCTTTTACCATTACATGTTCTTTTACCATCCAAATTTAATGGATATTACACCATCACTCATTAAGTTTACATTTTTTAGATTATGGCATTTGGTAGTGTGAGCTTGTGCTGTTTCCGGGAGATTTTCCTGAATATTTTCTGCAGGTGAGTCAGATACATATTTACTTTTTTTTTTTTTTTTTTTTTTTTTTTTTGGGTTTTTTTTTATGTTTTGTTTTGTTTTTTATTTTTTTTTGTATTGTGAGCTCTCTTCAATGGTCTATGCTGGTTCTTGTGCAGTCTGCAAGGGAGCATAAATGAGGTCAAACAGAAGTATTACCCATAGGCATCCAAGAGGTGGGACTAAAATTGAAAGAAAAATAAATTCTGAGTGATACAGTATTATTACACACCTCTGCAGCTGAAGAGTTTTGTGTTCTTTTTTTTTCAGCAATAAATTGTGATGAAGAGTCATAGCTAAGAATTGCAAGAAGGCAATTATAGATAGGAAAAATTGCAGTGTCTAACTATAAACTTGGAACAGACTGAGTAACCTTACAGGTTTGATCGTTAAGGACTTAAAAGCTGCTGAGATAATCAATGCATATTGAACTCTGTTCAATGTTTTTATAGTTCAATTCAATTCAAACTCAATTCAATGCTTTTATAGTTGACAGCAACAAAGAAAATTGTAGCTGCAGATGACTCTAAAGAGTATCATGAGTAATGAACCTGACACGGTGCTTGTCTGTTTCATGCAATAATCAGTTCCAGGAACTTTTAAGGTGCGTTTTCAGCAGTTCATCTTTGCAGTTCCTCACGACTTCTCTCACCAGTAAAAAAAGGGCACAATCTGTATGTATGCAGACACGTATGTATGCAGTGTCAGATGTCACAAACCTTGTAACTGAACTGATTGCTCAGTAGTGCCAGGCAGCCTCCACAGTAGAGCGAGCAGTGAAGCTGTTAGAAAGGAGCTCTGACACTGCCATGTCTTGGGCACTTGCCTGTCTTAACTTGTCAAAATTACTGTACATCAGAGACTCTTTTAGGCAAAAGCACGCGCTTGGTGCCTCTCACCACAATTCCTCTGCCTCGGGGCAGAGAAGGACATTATTGGAGATTCTAAGCTACCAATCACAATAAATAAGAGCAAGGATGGGAAGAAAAGACATGTTTTTTAATACAACAGGAGGCCTCCAATATTGTACACTGATAGTAAGCTGTCTCAAACAGGCTTCAGATAATATGTAACAGAAACCTTTCAAAACAAAATCTAAGAAACTCAGATGCTGGTAGGTGTTTCACAGACCACAGAAGTATCTGGGCATTTATATTAAAAAATTTCTTAATACGATGCTTGACCCAATAATTTTATTTCTGTATTTAGGTAACCAGTATGATGGTTTGCCAGTACATGAGAGGCTAATTTGCCAAACAATCACTGGAGGATGCTTAAGTTTCCATTAGAGTTTCTTCCTCAATTCAGGTAAGCTCTCTGGGGAGGTATTGAAATTAAAGAAGTTCTGGTGGTATTAGGCCCAACTTCAGAATAAAAGAAGTGGGGAAGATGAGGAGGATGAAGTTTTCTTTCTAAAAGACTAGGTTGCTTGTGCCAGGGGCTAGGAGTATAATGGTACTGGAAGAAGGATGAAAGACTGGGATATAACCAAAAAAGCCTTTTTGTGGATTTGTACCAATGAGAACTTGAAT